AAGCAACTCTTCAGGCAAAAAACTAAAGTAGAATTGTACAAGAAACAAACGCAGGAAATGAGATTGCAAATGATAACAACAATGAAATATATAAAATCACACCAGATGAAAATGATCACGAAAGCTCGTGCACGCCGACCACGACGAGCATCAATCGAAACTGAAACTATGCATGGAAAATGTACTGTACATGAAAAGTCCTCAACGACGCAAAGTATCTGTCACTGAAAACAAAAATAAAAAATGCAACGTATGCAATGTATCCTACAGGCTACTGCTAAGGTAGTGGTACCACATGTCGAAAAAAAAATAAACGAAAGTGTAGTGTACAAGTCGTGTCGTAGCTACTCTGCGAACACCCTACTGGTCCAACGCTACTCTATGAACACCATACTGGTACCAAAATCATACACACCGAAAACAAAGGAACCATCATGTAATACATCTGTAGCACACTGCACGCACACAACCACTGAATGCCTAACAACACTAAGACAAGACGAGACGACAAAAAAAACTAGGACCACACAACATGACGAACCGCAGTGCGAGCAGGGGAAAAAGGAGTGTTGGCCTCATCAGTCAACGACGCTTCTTCCCCTTCCCGCGTTGTCTCCTCGTACCCTCTCGCGTGCCGGATGTCGAACTCCTCCTCCCTCGTGCTGATGAAGAAGTCTGCGCAGCGCGCTGTCTGGCTGCACGCGTCGGTGGGGGAGGTGGGGGCTCGTGCTCGGCGTCGTCGTAGTCACCATCGGAACCTTTCTCGCTCTCCTCCTCTCCCTCCTCCTCGCCCTCATAGTCCTCGTCCTCCTCCCACACTGCTACATCTGTCTCAGGATTATCCTCCTCGATGGTGATAGGGGCTCCTACCTTCCTCAACACAACAACCCTCGCATTAGCCTCTGCAACCGTCTGCTCATGGCGCGATCCACGAGGCATCCCCAACCCCTCTGCCCCCGAAGTCTGTCCAAGTGCATCTCCTCCCTGTGCAGGCACGGGGCTTGGACGAGGAGGCACTACGCGCTTGCGTGGAGTCTGCTCAAGTACGGCACGCGTCGCTGCTCTCAGAGCGTGCTCCAAGCTATCGGCGGACACTCCTCTGCCGCGACCTCGCTGAGGCTCACAACCTGATGCTGCCACCTCCCTCGCTGCGGTCATCCTGCCGCCGCGGGGTCCTAAACCCGGCTGTAGACGTGAAGTGTGCTCCGTGACATGGCGGGTGGAATCCAAATCTATGTCTGTCCTCCCGAACAACGCTGTGTCACTCACGTCCCCCACATTGGCTGTAGTGTCCCGAATCCTAGACCTCCCAGGTGTGTGTGGAGATCGAGAGCCTCTGCCTGTGGGCGACGGTGATGGATCACCTATATGTGGTCTAGGAGGAGGGGGTGGCATGTCTCGTGTACGTGGCGCCGTCTCCACGACGCCACCTGAAACCCCTGGAACATCTCCCGCCGTACGTGCTCTGGTGGTGGTAGACCCAGACCACACTGGCGATGCAGGACCCCATGGAACTGGAGGGATCGCCTGCCATACTGGATGCCGTAGCCTCAGGTCAAAGATCCGCCGATCCAAGCGAGTCACATCGCGGACAACCTCTCTCGCCAACTCGTCTGCATCCAAAGGACGACGGACCAAAGTGACTAGGAAGACGCGGTGGCGCAACCACCGGCTCGGACCCCAAATCCGTGATAACGGGCGGTGGGACACCATGCACTGCCACCAGCACCGGTTGCGACTGTCGGCCCTGAGCCAAGTGCAGGCCCGAGAACGGAACGACTGGACCTATCGCTGTCTCCTGGAACACACATCGTGCGTCACCCACACCCTCGTCTCGCCGCCGTCCTGCCTGCACAGCCTCATCCACCGCCTGTTGCAAGCCCTGTACATGAACATCCACTGCCTCTCGCCCACCTTGCACAGCCTCAGCGTCCGCCTGTGCTACCACTCTCTCCACAACGTCCTCCCCCGCCACCACCCCACCCCCCCCACTCTCCACACAATCCCCCCCTGTCTCTCGACGCCTCGCATCCTCCAACGCCCGTGCGAACGCCTGAGCAAGCGGGTTAGTCGATGCCATAAGTCGAACCCTCTCTCGCTCCATGATGTCGCGTGCCGCATCCGGAGACCCCGTCGTCGTCTCTCTCTGGGGCTGCGTGTGACTCTCTCCAGCCGCGTCGTCCCTCGATGGAGCGCGATCCGTCGATGTCGCCCCGTCACAACTAGGTGGAAGGCCCATCGACATATCTAAGTCCAGGTGGCTCCCCATCTGCGAATCTGAGATCCCCAACCCCCTCGCCACACCTGGAGTCACACCCGCCATGACAGGATCGTACTGCTCCGTGAGGAACTGCTACATGAGGCGCTCGTCACCGCCCCCACGTGACACCTCCGCCTGTGCCCCTATCTCCTCCTCCACTGCTCCTGGCACTCCCCCCTCCACTACATCTGCTCCTCCAGCTGCTCCTGCTGCTGCAACCACAAGCCCATCCAGTGCAGCTGCTCCTCCAGCTGCTCCTCCCGCTGCTCCTCCAGCTACTCCCGCCTGCCCCTCCACTGCATCTGCTCCCCCTAGCGCTGGTGCCTCCTCCGCCAACACTGAAGCTGCCAGCTCCTCTAGCAATGAAGCCGCTGCTGCTACCGCTATCTGCTCCACCACACTTGCAATCGTAGTGTCCGCCAATCCCCCCTCCACTGCCATCTCCCCCTCCACGACTGTTGCCGACGGTCCCCCCTCCTCCTGCAAGACCCCCGGAGAAGGTGATCGTAACCTCAGCTGTCGGACTGCCCCGCCTCTGTGGAGTAGTCCGCACTGAGGCAAAGAGGACGCCAACTCCTCTGCGTCCTCTGCTGCTGTGGTCGGCTCATATGGCGCGACGGGCGATGACGGTGCAGGACTCGGAGCAGAAGGTGGCGGCACGGACAACTCCCGCCTCGTCGGAGCGGGGCTCGTCGCCCGCGCTCCTGTGCCGCCCGTGGAAGCGACCTCCCCGAACGGTCCCCACAACTCCTCCTCTCCCCCCATCATCTCCCTCTTTGCCCTGTCCGCTGCCCGTCATGCAGTATGCGCCCTGGTCTCCTCCTCGGGATCCTCGTGCGTCTCGCCGATCTCACGGGGAATGCGGAGCGCGGGGTGGTCCGCTGCCTTGGGTACCGGCTCCTCGTCGGAATCATCCTCCCTGGGGTAAGGACGGAAAATGGAAGCACGTCTACCGAATACGGCCTCAGCGGCGGGTGGTGCAGAGACCCCGATGGGATCCCGGGTGATAAGCGCAACCTGACGGGCAATCTCCTCCGGCGTCATCCCCCTGCGCGTGCCCGTGCGCACTGGCTCCGACTCCAGTCCGGCCTGGCAGTCTAGCATGTCCTCGTCCCGCTGCCATGGCAGCACATAACCGCACCCAGCCTGCCGATACTCCGACAACCGCACACTCGCGGTGATCTCAACGAGTTGAACGACCTTCTCAAAGACCAAGTGGTTGCGCTTCTTCGTGTGAATGCCCTCGTGGACTGCCCAGTTCCTCTCCGCTGGAGAGGCGCAACACCACATGTGCATCACACGAAGAGCAGCACTGCAACTCAGGTGCGCCAGACCCGTACTGAGACTACCAGGACGCGCACTCAATCGTCTCCCTGTCGCCGCTACAAGCACGCCCACGAGCACGCCCCCCCCCCCCCCCCCAATCCCCAAATGTGCCCTGCTGCATGTGGAAGTCCTCAAACTGCCGACATGCAATGATGTACTCCATACCATCCTCCTTGAAACCCGTCTGCGTCAAAATGTACCTCTTGGCTTGCCTCACAAGCCAACGAGGGTAATCCCTTACCTCGCTCGAAAAATACTCAACATGTCGCCTGCGGGGGTTCAGTAAGAACCCCGCGCAGTGAGCAGGCTCCAACATGTGCTGTGTGCGAGCATGCACACGCCTGATGATACGGTCAGCGAAAACCCTCCCCAAAGGAGCGCATGCATCAGTGACATGGCGGACAAGATTCTGTGTCCACTCGATCATGAGGGACATGTACTGCCCCCCACGATCCATCCGCCTAAGCAGCTCCATAACGGGCTGCATGATGTGGAGTATGGTGGCCATCGTGTGCCACCAAGGCTCCCATTTGATCTGTCGGCGCACCCAACGCGCCATGTCGCACACATCGGCAGACCACGGTATAGAAGCAAACTCCTGCCCGTCATCCCCTCGCATCATCGCCTGCAGAGCGTCCTGCAGGGCCAATAGTCTCTCCAACATAGAATAAACAGACGCGAACCGCGTCTCACAAGAAAGCACAAACCCCTTGTTGGGGTTGCGCTTCCTAAAGAAATGAAGGGCGGCCTGGTGGGTTTTGAAAAACACCACCAGAACACGAGCGCATGTAATCGCGTCCACAAATGCGTCGCAACTCGTCCCCATGTCTGACAACAATTTGTTGTAGACATGGATGGAACACGGAAGCCAAGTGATCCTCCTAAGTGCAGGAGGGATGCCCGGCGAGGCCAATGCCCTCGCAGCCCCCACGTACGCCGATGCGGAGTCTGTGCATATCGCATTGACCCGCTGCGGGCCGCCAAAACTAAACTCGTGGAAGATGGTCGCCCATCTCCGAAGGACGTGCACTGCATCGTCCGACTCGCCCTCGCGATTGATCATCGTGTACACGACGACCCCTCGCGAGCCGGCGGCAAGGAAATTCACGATCGGTCTTCCATCTCGTGATTTCCTCCCGTCCGAGAAGAGGGTGGCACCAGTGATCCAGAATGGCTGCCTCACCTCCTCCAACTCCTCCGCCAGCTCCTCACGGTGGGTCTCCACCGCCTGCATACTCGCAATCTCGTTGTGGCTGGGGAGCACATCGTGCGGGGAACTGCCAAGCTGCTCAAGAAGGACCTGCTGGTATGCCTTCCAAGCCTGGTTGCGGAAGGCATTGAAGGGGACCCCGCTTGAATAGAGTCACCGAAGGAATGCCTTCTTGTGCCGAGCAACCCACTCGCCACCGTAGACGTCAGTGACCTTCTGCTGGCGAAGCCTCTTCCTAGCTGGGGCGGCGGCCGGATCTGTTCCACCTTCCTTCCTCTTGGAAGAATCTTCCCCTACAGGTCCCTTGGCTGCTCGCCTCAAAAAGTCCTTCATCCTCTCCCCATTGCCTAGATAAACCTCAGGCACGTCCTCGTGTCCCGGGACTCCCTGCTCGCCCGGGACACACGCCTCGCGATCGACGTCGATCGCGCCTCCTCCGTGTCTCTACCTCCACCATCTCCCCTGACTCCTTCTGACGCTCCCTCCACGGGCTGCCGCCCCGCCTCTCCTCCCCTCACACCACCCGTGCCAGGCACATCGAGTCCGCGCTCCGCCGCGTACCTGGCAACCCTCTCCATTTGATCGCTCTCGAACTTCTGTTGACTCCGTCGCGCGATCTTGTACAAAGCCTCGCCGCTGACGTCCTTGCAGTAGTTCGTCTGCGTGAAATGCCTCGTCGCCTGGAATTGGCTCCCCTGAAATACTTTGTTGCAAAAAGTGCAACGCAGCATCATGACCCTCTTGTTGTTGACCTTCTGGCCGACAACCAGGTAACGGTACACAAAGGAGCGGCCCCTAAATGTGTCCTGCACATGGTCAGGGGCAGACTGATGTTGATGCCGCTGCGACCTCCCTATGTCGGCCGCCCTCGCCGCCTCGCGAGTCAACAATCGCAACACCCTCC